AAATCAGCAGTTCTGGAGTGGGCAAGCACTTCTCATCTTCCACAGTGAAGACAGAGGCAAAAAATGCATTCAGCTTCTCAGCCATTTCCCTATCATCCTTCAGTAATCCTTTTACCCCTTGGTCATCCAAGGGCCCCACTGCCTCCCTGGCTGATTTCCTGCTTCTAATGTATTTGAAGAAAGTTTTATTGTTGCTCTTAATGTTTTTTGCAATATGCTCTCATATTCGTTTTTTGCCTGCCTGATCACTGATTTACATTTTATTTGCCTCAGCCTGTGTTCCCTTTTATTAACATCACTGAGGCTGCGGTCACACGGAGGATTAAGCACGCTAGAGAGACAGAAGATAGGTGGATTTTCCAGGCGCGATCTCACTGCCACATCTGGGAAGCGTAGGGCTCCCGTGGCTCACCCGAGGCTTCACTCTGAAGATGCGCGGTAAAAAACTAGTACCTCGGAGGTACTAGTTTCTGGAAACTGCGGAGCAAGGGCGGGCGCGTGATCGCGTTTCCAGTGGAATTCCCATAGCATCCGGCGCCCGCCCATGTCCCCTCGCAAAAAGGTTTTTTCCCCAAGTGTCCTCGGGATGCGCACAAGCACCCAACGGGGCATACGCACACGTCGGTGTACAGAAAAAAACCCACCCGTTTGCCACGGCGCTCCGCTTCTTTGCCGCGCCGCAGGATTGTGGTGTGATCTGCACCTCCCCCTACCACGGGACCTCCACGGGATGTCTGCTCATGCAACCATGCGTTATTTTGCCCCGGGGCAAACAGCCACGCCTCCCCTCCGCATTTTCCTGCCCATGTGACCGCAGCCTGAGACTAGCTCTCCACTGCTTAAAGGAATCCTTCTTACCCTTTACAGCGGAGCGGCCGGGAGGAAGCATCGACGGGGGTGGGGCAGGTGGGGGCCTTCGTTCTAGCCACTCCAAGAGGCAAGAGAGAAGGAGGGGGTGGGGGCTAGCCTGAGGATGAGGGGGGGAGAGATTTTCCCGGCGGAGCGCAGCTTCGCGCTCAGCCGGGAAAGGGGGGATGGGGCCTCCAGGCCTATCCAAGGCTGCTCCAGCAGCCTCGGCTAAGCAGAGGGGGTGGGGAAGCCTACTTACCCTCCTGCTTCATCCTCGTTCTTCAACAGAATGAGGCTCGAAGCAGAGGGCGGCCTGAAGAGGGGGGGCTTCACCATGTGACCGCCCCCCCGGAGCGTCTCTCCCAGAGCGATGTACCAGAGAGCTCCGGCAGGATGAGAGGCCTGTCTAGAACAATACAAAACGATATAATAAAACAACTTATTAAAACTAGAATGTGGCGGCCATCTGTTATAAAGTGCT